ATGGAACTCACAATAAACAAAATGAAAAAGAGAATGGCAAATTTGCATGCAGGCAAGCAAGTCGTTTTCTCAAATTCTGTACCGAATATTTTTTTAATTACCGGATGTCTTAAAGTAATCCAACCTCTCATTCAAAATTACAAATGATAAAACCTTATCAAAACAAAATGGAATATAGCTCAGTTAATAGCGGCTGAGTTAATCCTGTAACAAAAAAAATTTAAAGTCTTTAATAATCTGTCAAACATAACGCTACAAAGAAATTAGTTAATATATATCATCTTTATTGTTTAAATTAAAAAAAAAATTAAAAAAGTATAAATCAGATTACATTTTTTTCATTGAATTAATTTTCATAATATTACTTTATAACTTGTGTTCAATAAATTACGACTACAAATTTAATTTACAATACTTGCAACTTATCTTGGGTGCACAATAATTATATTGATTTAATTACTGTAATACAATCATTACTTGTAATACAATCATTATTTGTTATCGTGTTTGAGCACCTTATCGAGTTTTAGTCGCCCCGCTGCGGCCCACAGTAAAACGGTTTTACTCACGTTTTTTTCGTGACGTCGCAATCGTGATTTGTCATATGGTGGGTGATGAACAATTACGTTGCATTTGCAATTTCATCGAATGTTTCTCTCGTGCAATATCTGTCGAATCTTCTGTGATAAATTCCGTCAACATTCTCTTACTTTCGATAGTAACAACAGAAGTATTACGAATTATATGTTTCGCTAGTTACAATTTCGCTAATTATTTGTTGTCCAACGCGAAGAAAAAGATAGCTTCTTGAAGTCCTTCAATTATAAGCGAGGAAGTAGCAATAAATATACATAACAGGTTTGAGGTATATACAAAAAATAGAAGGAGACAAGAAAATGGGAGAGAAGAAAGTTATTTCTAATAAGTTATTATGGTTACCGAATATAAATATTAAAAATTCAGCAGTACAGGTGCGGACCCGGTATTGTGAATTATACTAACTGTTATACTAACCTTAATATTTCTGATACGAAGAACTGTACGATCGAATGCTGTACGGTAACACTTCGTACTACTTCATAACTAACATTTTATGAAGAAGAAAAAGAAAAGTAGTAAATAAGAAATTATTTAACATATTCGTTTTATATAATGTTTCTTCTCGTTATTCGTTTTAAAAAGTAATTTTTAATAGTTGCGAGTTTCTTGCAACAAGTCTTTGTTAGTATAATATCGGATCGTTTATTAGAATCACCAATTTACATAGATTCAAGCATTCGATTTTCAAATTTAACAAAATATTCAAATAACGTCAGAGGTGCGCGATGGAGATGGCTGAATAATATGCCAAAGCAAATATCTTATCACGTCGTGATGGCCAAGACATTAATTTACATAGTAAATTACGCCCGTAAGAATAACAGTAATGAACTATCGTACATCCTGGTTATCGAAGGAAAAATGAGCAAATCGGACAATACGACTATGTTACGTCCTTTTATTGCCTACGTTGGACTTATGATTTAAGATACTTTTGATATTTTTTTTTGCTAGATAACAAGTGAAGGAAAAAAGCTTTCATAAAGTGACAATTTTTTATAATTAATTTTAATGATTGATGACTAGAAAAAAGTTACATAAAAATATTTGCGTATATATTAATAAGTATTAATAAGTATTATAAGTAATTAAGGTTTAAAAAACATGCTTCCAGTGTAATTTTTCTAATTAAGATTTTTCTAATTAAGAAGTTGTCAAATTTTTAGGCGCGCTTTCGAAAATATATTCAAATTGTTACGTCCGAATGGAAAAGCGCTTGTGTCATTTGTTGGTTCTCATTGCCTATTCGAGGCGTACATACGTCTTAGTCAAAAATCCAAAATATGAACTTTATCTTCAGGTGTTACAGTAACGCATTAAACATATGAATTAACACAATACATAATAATATTAAAAGTAAATATTCTTATCTTTAAGGACGCGCATCGTTACATGTCGTATTTCCAAAGAAAGGTATACAAAAATATAGAAGTATATATAGTTTACGAAAAATGTTGGAAGACATCGGCTTTGAAATCTTACATTGCAGCAAAAGAGAAAAATGTTATCAATACAACAATCAATAAATTTAAAAAAATAATTATATTAATAAATATTATTCCAAAATTAGTATTTATTAAAATATTATTAAATAGTAATATTGAAGTAGTATTATATGATAATAAAACAAATTATTAGTCATCATAGAGAAAGAAATGCGTATACATGATTTAAATCATAACAAAATTAATTAACGTCTAAATAAAATTCCTCATTTCTTTAATTAAATAGTTTTTAAATATCATATTTGTTTTTACAGATCAAATGTTCAGATCAATGTTATCCATTAATCCTTTTATAAGTCGAATGCCAGATGACATAAAAGATGAATTCATGGGCGATCTGATAAGAGAAATATTTAAGCAGAACGTTTGGATACCATTTGAAAACAAGAACAATGAATTCCTATTGAAACATTACCTCTTAGTAGCATATATAAAAAAACCTCAATCGGCCAATTAAGTACGAAAAATATATTTCTACGTAGAAGGTGAAGGCAAAATTAACAAAGTTACTTTTATCTTATTTGATGTTGGCAAAATAATTATAATATAAAGTACTATAATATTTTAATGTAATATCCATTATTGCTTTATATATTATTGCAAAATAAATAAGAATAATAAATAATATATCAAATTATATTCGATATTTCTCTCAACAAAATCTTACGTTCGGAGCGAATGTTCGCCCGAAAAAAGTAACAAAAAAAGAAAAGAATAAATATGTCGCCTTTGACCAACTTGTCTCCTACAACATTAAATTTTATGTTTATTTTTGTACGCTACATCTTCGATTTTACAATAGCTATCTAAAGGGTATCGTTATTATAACTTACGGATCATACATCGTATGAATATAAAAGTGGATAATAAAACATTAAGATATCGATATTCGTAGCATAATGAAATGCGCAATATTATAACGAGAGAGAGAAAAAAAAGAAGTCAGAGGAGGACAAAGTCCCATTATCCTTTTTTCTCCAAAATAGTGACGGTGAGCAAATTATTGTTGATATAAAAAGTTGTCTCCGTTCCAACTACGCATATTTCTTCATTCTCTACTTTCCTATATATCTTTCCTCTACCTTACCTCATTTCAATTTGAATAAATAAAGAACGATAATATACTAAACGACTGCTGACGTCCGATGCAATTGGCATTGAATTAAGTCAAACGAAAATGACAAATGCATGCAGGCACGCAAGTCATTCTCTATACCCAATAATTTTTTTAATTGTCGTATGTCTTAAAGTAAACCAATCTCTCTCTCAAAATTAAAAACATGAAATTTTACCAAAACAAAATGAAATATATGGCTCATTGTGTTGGTTATCTAACAAGAAGTAATTTAAAGTTTTTAATAATCTGTCAAACTTAGCGTTACGAAAAGATTCGTTAATATATCATCTTTACTGCTTAAATCTAGAAAAAATAAAAGTAGAATATTTTCTTTTCAGTTTCAATTAATTTTCACAATGTTATTTTATTATAACTTGTTTATAATAAATTATGACTACATATTTAATTTACAATACTTGGAAGCTTCTTTTGGGTCCACGATAATTGCATTGGATTAATTACTGTAATTCAATTACCATTTTGCGTGATATTTGTTACCATGTTTGAGCATCTTATCAAGTTTTAGTTTCGTCCCGATGCGGTTCGGCAAAACAATTTTACCTGTGTTTTTTACGTGATGTCACCATCGTGATTTGTCACGTGGTGGGTGGCGAACAATTATGTTGCATTTGCGATTTCACGCGAATGCTTCTCACAGTCGACCACTGCCAAATTTTGTCGCTTATAAAATCCATCAACATTCTTACTTATAGATTTCATCACCTCTCAT